CTGGAGGAGTAAGAAGCAGCTTCCCAGCTGAAGGCTGCATCCTTCTCTCTGTGCTGTCATGGAACGGAAGCTTTTAGCAGAAAGAGGAGTCTGTAAGCGACATCCAGAGGATGCAGGCAGCACTTTTTTCCCCCATAGGGCCCTCTCTTTTGGGAGTGGGGAATGTGGTGCTAGGCTGCTCAGCGGCTGTTTCACAGGTGGCAGAATTTAAGAGCAGACCTGAGCCCAGCTGCGACCTTCCAGGTGACACACGCACAGGAGGTTCAGCTGTGCCACAGGGTGGGGGTTGGCAGGAGCGGCCTCCAAGCCTCAGAGGAGGACTCCCTGGCAGCGGCGCGGCGTCCAGCATGATCCATGTCTGCTTTCATTGTCTCTCAGCCCACTTGACAAATTCCTTTTAAGATGAAATTTGAATCAGTTTGCGGAACTTACACAAATCTCCAAGAAAACAGCTTAAAGAACAGATGAGAGAATGAGGCTGGGCGCGATGGCTCATGCCTGTAATCCCAGCACTTTGGGAGGCCGAGGCGGGTGGATCACGTGAGGTCGGGAGTTTGAGACCAGCCTGACTAACATGGAGAAACCTCATCTCTACTAAAAATACAAAAAAAATTAGCTGTATGTGGTGGCCCATACCTGTAATCTCAGCTACTCAGGAGGCTGAGGTAGGAGAATCGTTTCAACCCAGAAGGCAGAGGTTGCGGTGAGCTGAGATCACACCATTGCACTCCAGCCTGGGCGACAAGAGTGAAACTGTCTCAAAAAAAAAAAAAAATGAATGAATGAATGGTGTAGGAATTAAAGCATTAGTAGCTTGAGTAGACTGGATGGGAAGATGCGTTTTAAATTTTTTTAAAAAACAGGAAGCAGTCCCCCGCATCCCATCACTAAAATGTAGGTTATCCAGATGAGGCTCATCCAGGGAGAAATTCTCACCTTCAGGGGGCACTGCCTGTCCTTGGCATCCGAGTGAGAGCATCTCCTCCGTGCTCAGTGGCGAATGCTGGCCGGCACCTGCATCTCACAAGGTGAAGAACCTTGTGATCATTTTCCATTTCTGAAAACTCCCGTGGTGGGAGTTTTGGCCCACATCAGCATTGAGCCCCCCCTCAGATCTGGCCCGGCACATGAGTTGTGATGGGAATTTCAGTACGCAGGGCTTTGCCTCTGACCCTGATGAAATAGCTTCAGTGGCGTTTGCATCAAGATCACCTCAGTGTCATCTCTGTTATGTGCTTTGGACCCAACATGAACTTGTGTTTCCTTGTAAGATTTCCTGTGATTCCAGATTCAGAGGAATCTGAGAAAAGTGTGAAGAGAGAAAATTCTACTTAGGCGGCAAACGGTGGGTGCAGAGCCTGCCTGCCTTCCCTGCTTCGTCCTGAGGAGCCGGGTCCCGGCTGGCACCAGAGTTTCCGCTGCTTCCCCTCACGCCCTCACTGCTATCCCAGCCCCAAGCCTGAGTGACACTCTAGGATTGCAGGTGCAAGCAGGGCTGCTCTCTCTGCGCCCCCCCATGCCCATCCCCATGGTGCTCCACCTGTACCCTGACCTCTAGACCCTTGCCTAGACACCCCCTGCCCTCAGTGAGGTGCAGCCTGCGGTGGGCCTTTCCCCTCGGCCTGCCGTCAGCTCCTCTGCTCCTTGGGGTCTCACCGGCTGCCCTGGGCCTGTCCCCACAGCCCCTGGCACAGAGCAGGAGCCACGTTTGCTCCTTCAGGAAATGAATGAGAAGGAGAAATGTGGACTCGTCATGTTTTTGAAGTTAATAGAAAGGATCCCTTAAAAGTTGTTTTATGTTCAGTTTTTAAAGAGATCAATTACCAGACATTTGCGATGCCGCCCTCCCTCCATCTGTGAGAAATTAGAAATGGAGACGGGTTCGCTAAAGCCAGCAGCGGGTCAGGCTCAAGCCCAGCGCCTGGGGCAGGACCCTGTTTCTACATGGGACCTTGGGTCACACTGGCACATATTATAAGCGGGGGTCCCACCTGGCCCCCCACACAGAGCCAGATGAGGCCATGTATGGGAAATAATCCAGCTTACAAGATGCAAGGCTGTGCAGGTACTTATCCTCTGTGCTTATTTCTTTACACTAAAATGTCTCTACTTAAGCAAACAAAAAGAATATGAGAGAGACCGTTTTCATCTACAAATCTAGACACCAGCATTCTAAATAACATGGTCGGTGTTTTGTTTTTATAACTTTGTCCTCTCCTAGAGATAAATGCAACTTTGCCCTTCTAAGTTGTATAAGTATATGCATTCATTGATGGATTCACTGATGGATTCACTGGCGGATCCATTGGCGGATCCACTGACGGATCCACTGGCGGATGTCGACTTGTGTAACTTAGAAGAATAAAGTTGTGTTTCTCCCTGGGAAGGACAGCCCGGCTCACCTGAGGTGCTCTAGGAAGTCACTGTGCAGGGCCCTGATTCCAGGAGAACCGTGTGCCAGTCACAGCCATGAATGCGGAAGAGGGAACAGAACCTGACTGACATTCTGACATTCACGAGACCATGTTTTCAGGAAGGCGTTGAGCACCGCCGTGCTTGTGAGAGCTGGACCCGTAACCCTTGGCGCCAGCAGCAGGGAGTCCGCAGCTGAGTCTCCTTCAAGAAGCCAGGCCCTCTTCTCATTTTTCTGAGTTTGCGAGTTTGCTGACTTAGCTCTCCTCCCTGCCCTTCATATATTTTATTCCTTATAAGAAAGTCTGAAGCAGATGTAGGTGAACACTGGTGCTTCGTAAAACCAGCATTGCTTACGCAGTTTTTCCATTTTGCTATATCTTATAAAAATGATCAGAAAAGGGAAGAAAGGAAATGAATAGGGCCCAGTCCTCACCCATGTGTGGGGTGGGGGTGTGCGTGGACCCCTGCTCCCTGGTCTTGCACATCGAACACATGGTTCATGTGTGTAGACTCTTCTCACATAATAGCAAATGAAAACCTTTTACTGTGTCAAACTCAACACCCAATTAAGAACTAAGCACATGCGTTATAGAAGCTGGGAGTTGCACTTCACTAACTTGGTGGAAGAAACCAAACAGAAGCAGTCAAAGAGGAGGATTTCATTTAAAAACAGCAGCAGCGACAAGGCAGCCCGTGCTGCACTGTGAATGTGCTCAGATCTGTTCAGAAGCTTCTGTTGCCTTCTGGGTCGTTTGGTGTCCTCTCACTGTCCAGGAAAGTGGCCTGAGCTGGTCTTCACAGCCTGAGGCCTGGGCACTTCTCAGGTTCAAGCGAGTCCAGCCCAGGGCAGCCAGCCCAGGGCAGCCAGCCCCTAGGGGCAGGTTAGGAGCGGGACCAGCTGCGTGTGGTGGTGGTCGGGGTTGGGCGGGGGGGGGAGGTGGTGATGTCAGTCAGAGAACCTGAGAACCTGAGAGCACCCCTTACCCTGAGCACCAAGAGCTCAGGTGACTGTGGCTTCCGCGGCTGAGTGGCAGTCCAGGGATCAGAACCCCTAGCTGAGCTGGTGCCCAGGCCTCCCCCAAAGAATTTCCCACCATTTTCTCAGGAGAAGGCTGAGTCCTGGGACCAGGTTTCCTGTGGTTTGGAGGCAAAGCCAGTGTGGGACTCGCTGCCCGGGTGGTGACCGTAGCCGTGCTTTGCACAGAGGGCAGTTGCCACTGTGGGCTGTTTCACCCACATCGGTGGCTTTGAGACTGTGATGTTCAGTTTTTCCTAGGAACTAAGTGACGGACAAGGCCTGGTCTTAGGCAAGACCAGAGACTGGAAGGCCCTGTGGGCTGGGTGCCAGGGTGAACGTGGGTGCGATGCACTCAGAGAGGGGCACCCAGACAAGGTCATTTCTAAAGGTGCTGACCCTGAGGGGCGAGGAGCTGGTTTTCTTAGCAGCCGTCTTCTGCGCTCACACACCCCTCTGAGCCCGAGACTCTCCTAGAGGGCAAGGCCCCACCTCCCTGCTTGGCCCAGGTCGCATGGGTGTTGGTTGTGGGGAGCTTTCTGAGGGGTGAGCCTGTGGGAGGGCAGCAGGTAAGGTGGGCTCTCACTTGGACTCTCAGCGAAGTTTTCCAAAGAGCCGCGTGTCTGAGAAGTGACACTCAGATGTCCCTGGGCTGCGCCAGGAGCAGTGCTGGCTCGGAGTGAGTGCGCGCACCCACCGCGTGCTTTCAGCGTAGGGATCTGCCGTAAAAGGGGCGCGCACATTGAACTATTTGTGATGTTTGTAATTCAAACCCACCCCCTTCCTGCATTTCTTTTCTGACTTTCATTTGGTCTTGATTTGTAAGGAGTGGAATTGATTCAGCCTCTGTTCCTCACCAGAATGACTTGTAGCCTTTTTTCGATAGCACATTAGGACAGGGCAGAAAATCCATTTCTTTGCAAGGTACAGAAACTCATGCCCAGAGGAACGCACTTGTGCCAAGAGCCAGGAGCACGTCGCGTTGGCTGCATCTGGTAAACATGTTTTCCAAGGGGGCACTTGTCTCGTCATGGAAACGGGCTCCGGGTCTCAAGCGTCTGTCTGGACCACTTCTGGGCACACACTGTTCTTGGTTCACAAACAGCTGCGCAGGGGCTTTGTCAGAAGAGGAGGAAGAGGAGCAGAACAGGTCGTCTTCCTGTCTGAGGGCTGGCGCCCGCCCTTTTCCTTGGCCAGCCAGAACCTTTTTCTTTATTTTCCTCTTGATTGACTTCTAGAAATGATGTCAGCAAGGCCTCTGGGCCTGTAGTGGGGTCTTCTAAGAGCCGGCCTCCCGGGGCGGGTCGGAAAGGAACAGGGATTGTGGAGTGTGTGTCCTGGCCTGACCTTCCACAGGCTTTTGTGTCTTTTTTTTTTCCCTTGAGGAATGGGCCTCAGAGGCCACTGAGTCTTGCATTTTGAGTCTGCTGGGGGAGAGGGGAAGGGGTGTCCGATCCTTAAATGTCCACAGGCCCCCTGTGAAGGTGGCTAGAGTGTTGGGTGGGGTCCCTGGGACTTGGGGGCGGCTGAGGGCGGCAGTGACCGGCTCTCCTGTTTGTTCTTCCCACAGTGGACGTGGCCACGGCGCTGCCTCTGCAAGTGGCGCCCTCGGCAGTGCCCATGGACCTGCGCCTGGACCACCAGTTCTCTCTGCCCGTGGCGGAGCCTGCCTTGCGGGAGCAGCAGCTGCAGCAGGAGCTCCTGGCACTCAAGCAGAAGCAGCAGATCCAGAGGCAGATCCTCATCGCCGAGTTCCAGAGGCAGCACGAGCAGCTCTCCCGCCAGCACGAGGCGCAGCTCCATGAGCACATCAAGGTGAGGCGGGGGCGTGGCGCGGCGTGCACGCGGGTGGGCCAGGCCTCCGGCGCCCTCAACTCCTGGTGACGCCAGGCCTCAGCCTCTGCAGAGTGTGCTGGCCCCAGGCATGTTGGAGGCTCCTGCAGGAGGCCACCTGCATGGGGACGGTAATGCGGGGACGACCGCGGGCAGCACTTGTGTGTGTTGTGGAGGAGGCGTTGTGGGAAGCACATTCCAGACAGGAAGAGTGCGCATCACCTGACTTCATCTGAAACATGCTCAGAAACACAAAAGCTCCCAGAAGGAGGAAGCACCAGAATCTCAGTGATCGTTGCTGGGAGGTGTGTTGGCAAACCTTGTGTTTTCTTTTCTTAGGACTTTTCTGTGTCGTCCATTTTCTCTGCTAACCTGTTATTATTACAAACAGATAATATTTTCTTTCAATTTAAATGTGATAAGAAGAAAACAAAGACTTTTTTTGGTATTTATCCTCTACAAATATTAATCTGATACCAGATTTTAAAATTAAATAAATTGGAAATATGTATTAGTGATATGTAGTGAAGTTCTGTTATATAGTTGGCAGACTAGTTATGATATCTGTGATGATAATGTGCTGTCACTGCATTTAGAACCATATACAGCAACACCGTCTAATAGAAATATACATGAGTATATTGAAATTATACCAGTAATTTTAAATATTCTAGTGGCCACATTAAACAAAGTGAAAAATCCCGCAAAACCAGATTAAATTGTCTATTTCTGTGTAACAAAATTACCCCAACACTTAGCCGCTTAAAATGGCAAGCTTGTATTATCTTGCTGTGGGTTAGGAATCCCAGAGCAGCTTAGCTGATGGGGTTTTCCACTGTGTTGTACTAAGATGTCAGGCAGGGCTGTGGTCTGATCTGAAGGGTTGGCTGGACTGAGGTGGGAGGAGCTCCATTCAGGCTTGCGTGGCCACAGGCAGGAGGCCTCAGGTCCTTGTCCACAGGGCCCCTCACAGAGGGAGCAATCTGAGAGGAAGCATGGCCAGCGTGGAAGCCACAGGGTCTCTTGTGGCCTGATGTGGGAAGTGGCAGGCCACCACCAACACTGCTGCTGTTGTTCATGCTGAGTCTTGGCAAGCCAGTGGGGCCTAGACATGTGGAGCATGTCTCCATTTGGGCCAGCTGCGTTCCAGGCCACATGTGGTTCGTGGCAACTGTTGGACAGCACAGACGTACAGCATCAAAAGCCTGTGACCGTATGCCACACAGTGCTGATGAGATGCTCATGTGGTCCACCGGTAGGAGTTGTTGGCTGCCTGACATTAGCCCACACCCAAATGTTAGTGTGCAGAGTAGCTAGGGTGCATCCCTCTGTTTCTGCTCTAGCTGGTAATTCTCTTGACCACGGGATCCCAGTTTCCCCTCCTTGTATATGTAAGACCCTTTGTTCCATGTCTTTATTTAATAATCACTGTTGAAAAATGGCGGTAAAGTAGTATCAGTTTTCTGTAGGCTTAGTGCCAGACTTCGGGGGAGGCTGCATCCCACAGCTGGACTGGCCCTGGAGGATGGGCTCGGCGACAGCTCCAAGTCCCCTCTCGTGGGTGCCAAACCATTCTGTGAGTGCCTGTGCTTCAGAGGTGAGCCTTAAGAGCTTTGTCCTCATCCTCCTCTGGCCTTGAGAGACTTGGGCTGGGAAATTTCTCCCTGGACCCTGAGGGGCTGCCTGGAGGCCCTGAGCCTTTGGAGTCTGACTGGTGCCTTGGCGTTGGTGGGCTTGGGAGGTCCCACTGCTGCTGCTGCTTTTTCCTGGGTGCACTGGCCTGCTAACGTCAGCATTTGACAAACTGAGGATCGGACCCTTTCCTGAGCTCTTGAAGCCCATGCTTTGTCATTTTTGCCCTCAGAATTCAAGCCATCTAGCAGCGGTGTGTCACGAACACGTCACCTGTCCCTGTGGAGGCTGACCCACCAACCTCCACTGGAATCCTGCCAGTTTAACAAGTGCACTCCAGTTTAGGGTGGGGCAGTGGGGGGCTCCAGTGCCCCTCGTGATCCCCATGATCCTGACACTCCTGGCATGTGGGACATGAGAGAGGACACAGACTTCACTTGAGTGACAGCGCCACTGTGTGCTGTGGCCAGGCCAGGCTTGCCTCCCTCACCGCCTGACCATGGGCAGCTGCATGTGGCCTCTGTTTTTCAAGCCTGGGAGAAGAGTTTTCGAACTGCATACAGAAAACAGGTGCATGCCAGGCAGAGGCGCGGGTCACCGGGACTCACCGCAGGGGTCACTGGGAGTCACCACAGGCAGTCCCTGCAGCCCACGCAGGGCTTCAGCTCACTGGCCTTCCTGTGACCGGCCAAGAGCAGCCCTCGTAGTCATCAAAAGTCACCACGATCTTATGCTATCAAGTGGCCACTTGTTTTATTTAGTTTTTGTGCCGTAGGCTCGCATTCTGTGGCTCCTAGGGGTAGTTTTGTAGAATGAGTATTGTAGCTCCTTTGTACTCTGCACGTTGGCAACCCCACGTCAAGCCTGGGGACTCCCCAACAGCAGTCTTTTGACCCATGCACTGCCCTGCACTTCTCGGAAGCCCCCGTTGGCTACTGGTCCCGCCTGCCTGGGGTGGTGAGGACCGCTCGCTCACTCTGCAGCCCAGCACAGAGCCTGGCTGAGGATGGCCTCGGGAGCTCCTGCTGAATTCCATTTTTCCTGTTGTCACTGTGCCCATTGAGCCCTGCGGTCCTCACCGTTGATCCACCGGGAACATTCACAGCACGTGATTAGGACACCACCCCTAAAACTGCTCTGGGTATTGGTGCAGAGTGAATTGTGGGTGTCTCATTCTGTGCTGGTTGAATCTGTAGCTTTTACAAGAAGACGCAGATGAGAAGCTGAACAGTGAACCTAAGCGCCATGTGTTTGACGGGGGCTCCCAAGGTCGTCTAGGAAGCCAGAAGACATAAAAAGACACTTGAGTTGGGGTCAGTGCTGCCACCTCAGGGCGGGGCCCAGTCCCACCCCCAGAACGCCTCTGCCTCTCCTCCCCTGGTGCCTCAGGAGCTGGCTTCGTGGCTCACAAGAGAGCCCCCTGCCCCAGTCCTCATGTCGCTCCTGCAGGCCGGGCCCTCATACCATGCTCCTCATTCCTGGAGGGGTCCCTGGGAGGGTCTGCCCCCCGCCCCAGCAGCAGTGGCGACCGACCCGCTGAGAGGTGGCCGGTGGTCCCAGAAGTGTGGCTCAGAGCCCATCTCAGGGCCGGGGCCTCAAAAGCACAGAAAGAAGCCCAGAGTTGCATTTCTCTTTGTGTTTTAATCGTTTATTTTGTCATTAAAATACAGATTGCAAAAGGCATTTGAACTCCACAGTGGTTTCATTACATTAGGAGGCTTTGCTTGGATGATTTGAGCTCCCTTTCTAGGCCTTCATCTTGTTAGTGACATTTGGCAATGGTGTTTGTCAGACAGATTTCTTGAACGCAAAATCTAATTAGTGTCATTAAATCATCAGTGAATTTGAATAGAGTTTTATAATTGAAAAGGGAATCATTTTTAAAATGTAACTTAAATGGTTAATGTTGGGTAAATAGGCTCTCCTAGGAGAGTTTTAGTGCCCGTGACCCTCGGACTTCCCGTCTCCTGGCTGTTCGCAGCACCTTAGACTCAGCCTCGCCCCTCCTGCTTGGACACTGCTATTCCACTAGGAGGGGGTCCCAGGTGAGCGAGGAAGCTTCTCTCTTGCACTTCCGTGTTTTTGTTTCTTTGTTTTTTGAGGTGGTCTCGCTCAGCTGTCACCCAGGCTAGAGTGCAGCAATGCCATCTCAGCTCACTGCAGCCTTCGCCCCCCAGGTTCAGGCAATTCTCATTCCTCACCCACCTGAGTGTCTGGGATTACCAGCATACACCGCCATGCCTGGCTGCTAATTTTTGTATTTTTGGCAGGGACATGTTTTTCCCACGTTGGCCAGGCTGGACCTGAACTCCTGGCCTCAAGTGATCTGCCTGCCTCGGCCTCCCAAAGTGCTGGGATCACAGGTGTGAGCCACCCTGTGGCTCGGCCTCTCTCTTGGATTTCTGATTAATGTCTCCCAGAAGGGTATGGAGATGGAGGATACAAACATAGGTACCCAGAGAGGGTCCAGGGACAGGCCACAGAGTCACGGCTAGAGCGTGCCCCTGGCTGGTGAGTAATGGAGCAGCAGGGACATGTAGGAGACCCCAAGCACACGACTGGGCCCCAACACCCCCCGCAGGGTGCATCTCTCCCCAGGAGTCACAGGGCACCCCCCACAGGGGACATCTCTCTCCAGGAGACACAGGGCACCCCCCACAGGGGACACTTCTCCCCACGAGGCACCCCCCACAGGGGACACCTCTCCCCACGAGTCACAGGGCACCCCCCACAGAGGACACCTCTCCCCACGAGTCACAGGGCACCCCCCACAGGNGGACACCTCTCCCCACGAGTCACAGGGCACCCCCCACAGGGGACACCTCTCCCCACGAGTCACAGGGCACCCCCCACAGGGGATACCTCTCCCCAGGAGGCACCCCCCACAGGGGACACCTCTCCCCAGCAGACACAGGGCACCCCCCACAGGGGACACCTCTCCCCAGGAGGCACAGGACACCCCCCACAGGGGACACCTCTCCCCAGGAGGCATGGGGCATCCCCCACAGGGGACACCTCTCCCCAGGAGGCATGGGGCATCCCCCGCAGGGTCATCTCTCCCAAGAAGGCACAGGGCACCCCCCCACACAGGGCACATCTCTCTCCAGGAGACACAGGGCACCCCACACACACAAAGGGTACACCTCTACCCAGGAGACACGGAGCATCCCCTATAAGGTATTCCTCTCCCCAGGAGACACAGGGCACCCCCCACCCACAGGGCACACCTCTCCCTAGGAAACACAGGGCACCCCCCACCCACAGGGCACACCTCTACCCAGGAGACACGGGGCATTCCTTATAAGGCATTCCTCTCCCCAGAAGACACTGGGGCACCCCCATAGGGCACA